CATCTATTAATTATTTGAATTCGCTTTTTAATTTTTAAATTAATTTTTTTATATCGATTTTTTTTAATTGTTTTTTTTTTTTTTTAATCGCTTGGAGGTGCCATTTGGATATTTTGGTTTAACATTTGTGAATGATAGTTCAAATTAAAAAAAAAATACCACAAAACCCTTTATGAAAAATATTTTGACTTTTACTTAAATATTTAAACAAAAGTTAAGAACTTAAGACAAAATATAAGAAAAGTTAGAAAATATACTAAATTCATAGACATATGAACTTTCTAGCGTACTTTTGGAATGCTCTTACTAAAGCTCTTAAAATTTTTCGAATAACCTGAAATCCGATTATTGTAATATCCGGTTAGTAACCGTTCGTATGAATATTAACCGACCGAATAATACTATTTGAATAGTCCTAACACTGCAACTATTCGATAGTTCTGCTCTGCTTCGCTCAATAGAATAACTAAAATTGTTTGACATCCAAGCAGAGTCTAATTTTTGCTCATTTCAAATTTGTGAAAAGCTAATTGTGCGTCTAAATGTACTTACACTATAACTTATTTTCGTAGAAAAAATGTGTAGAAGTCGAACGTTTACTATTCGAATATTCGTTAAAGAACGGTTAACCGGTTACTCGAAAATGAGCAATTAAGCCAATAGTCGACGACTTACGATTATCCAGATACTGCACACCGAATATTTATATTCGAACAATGCCCTATCCGGTTGACACGGTTAGTATACTACCAAGAGCTCTAGTTCTTACCCTGTAATGCACGAGTTGTAATATATAATATTTAGTCCAAAAGTAAGAAAGTTATAATATATTTTGTTATTATGCTTATTCTTAAAATAATTAAATACCAGATGAATCAATTGGCATTTTTTATTGTACTAAATATCTGAATTAAAACTAGTGATTAATACTTATGTACTAAATAGACGCCTTGACCAATTAATTCTTCTCCTTTAAAATGATATACTAAAATGTAAAATTGACACGCAGACTCAATTTTAAGATGATAGCTGACCAATAAATTCTGATATAAGTCTCAGTTTAATACTTCAAAACTAAAATCAAATTTACAGCAGGACTACCATTCGATCAAATTTGACCCGGACTGACAAAAAAATTATTATATTACATTCAAGTGAGTATTTTAATACAATTATCGCCTTCAGGATAGGCTCATGCCAGCGCTTAATCTAACTTTTCATGAACTTTTAGTTTTTTCAATTTTACCACATCTACTCATAAAGCATTTCTAGAATGTGTGGTCTTCAGATACTTTGGCAAGTATCGCTTTTTGGCCATCTACTCGACGTTGTTTTATCAAAATATTCAAGCCTTTGGTACGATTTTAACATTGACATGATTCATACCCAAAATATGTTGAATCGGTCCATAAGAGGCGTTGAGATCCTTTGCTATCTCTCAGATGCCAGCGCAACTATATTCAACCACTGTTTTAACTTTCACGAACTTCTCGGCATTACCAGAGCTGGATTCGCAAATGGCAAGCTTTATATGCTTACTACATGCTTTGTGCTACTCAAATACTTATATTCTTCATAAAGTAGACTCGCCAAAACACATCCGCAATCAAAGTTTTCGTAGCCTTGACTATTGTCACACAAGATTTCAAGCGAATTCGTTAATTAATATTTTTCTTGTTAAAAATTGCCTGGCAAGACATTGATAGATATGTATATAGAGATTAATACATACTTCACACAAACATAAGAAAGTTTGTAGCTATAAACTAAAAAAAAAGTGTATCGATTCGATTTGTGCGCGCAGTTTAAATAGTTCAAACCAGTCCGGATCATATTTGATCACATATATCAAAACTTTTTTTTTTTATTAATTCAGATCCTTAATCTTGTTATATGCTCATCTTTAGGGATATGTAGGATCATATGCAAACGTAATGCTGCGTTAAATAACAAATAAATAAACTGACTCATTTGATCATATATTCCTCAAAAAGATTAGCTTATATTATAATATTATTTACGGGCATTTCTTACATCAAATATTATATATATCAAATTCATCTACTATAGCAAAGCAGACACAATAGAGATAGCAAATTTGAGCGAAGAGATAAATCTGCTATAAAAAATCAGGAAGTAGTATTTTAATAACCACAAGGCGGCATTTTATAGCAGACAGACCTATAAGTTCTAACCTCCATGCTGGTTGAATTGGGCATAGTAATTGCCGAAAATCCTCCAACTATCACTCATTTGCTTACAAAGCGATTCCAAAAGCCATGCCCACTGTATTAATAACTGTTACATATATTTGTATCTGGTAATAAATATTCGTAAGCAGTGTCTACGCCAATAAAAACAAGTAAGGAAGGGCTAAGTTCGGGTGTCACCGAACATTTTATACTCTCGCATCAAATACCGTATTTGTGTAATGTTTTATTCCGCTGTCATCATCGGTTCCTAATGGATATATTATACAGAGAAGGCATCAGATGGAAATYAAATTAGCGTTATATTGGAAGAAGGCGTGGTTGTGAACCGATTTAACCCATATTTCGTACATGTCATCAAGGTGTTAAGAAAATATTATGTACCGAATTTCATTGAAATCGGTAGAGTACTTCCTGAGATAGGGTTTTTGCTCCATAAGTGGGCGACGCGACGCCCATTTTCAATTTTTAAAAAAAGCCTGGATGCAGCTTCCTTCTGACATTTCTTCCGTAAATTTTAGTGTTTCTCACGTTTTTTGTTAGTCGGTTAACGCACTTTTAGTGATTTTCAACATAACCTTTGTATGGGAGGTGGGCGTGGTTATTATCCGATTTCTCCCTTTTTTAACTGTATATGAAAATGCCTGAAGGAAACGACTGTATAGAGTTTGGTTTACATAGCTGTAGTAGTTTCCGAGATATGTACAAAAAACTTAGTAGGGGGCGGGGCCACGCCTACATTTATGGCTTTGTTATGACACTTTATTGGTTTTCGGTTTTCGCCATTTTGTGGGCGTGGCAGTGGGCCGATTTTGCCCATCTTCGAACTTAGCCTTCTTATGAAGCCAGGAAATACGTGTACCAAGTTTCATCATGATATCTCAATTTTTACTCAAGTTACAGCTTGCACGGACGGACGGACAGACGGAAAGACGGACAGACAGACATCCGGATTCCAACTCTACTCGTCACCCTGATCACTTTGGTATATATAACCCTATATCTAACTCTTTTAGTTTTATGACTTACAAACAACCGTTATGTGAGCAAAACTATAATACTCTCTTTAGCAACTTTGTTGCGAGAGTATAAAAAGAAGAAGAATAAATATTCAACAAACATTTGAACAGCCGTTATCACTGCCTTGCTACTGTGAACGCTGAATATCAGCCTACGACCACAATTTATATAAATTAAGTAACTGAAATTTGTTTGTGACTGATGCAACAACTTTGTAGGCAATACACTTATCTCCATATGTCACGCTCTCACATTGTGTGTAGAACTTTCTTGTTGCTTTCATTTGTCGCTGTGATGTAAGTATTATTCAATACTGTGAAACAGTTGATGGCATTACGTCACTAGAAATAACTTCTAAGGAAGTATGTAAGTGCTTAGAGGGTTTTAAGCAAATATTATTATTATCAGTGATATCTTAATTTTCCATTAGGACAACAGTCCGCCTTATGCTGCAAGACCACGTCAAGGCTTAGTGATTGATTCGTAAGTATGTCAAGAAGTTTAAGAGGATTAACTTTTAGTTAATATCTCTGCGATTCGACTGTTTTAATCAACTGTTTTCGACGTCAAGAACGTCAATCTGAAAGTATCTGTAGTAGATCAATGTAGACTCAAGGTTATTGAAAGAATTGTGTTATAGGATCTTAGCACTCCTTAAATTTTTTGCACAGAATTCCAAAATGAAAAAAAGATATATATAATTTTTTCATAAGCACTATACTACAGACTAGTGGCATGTCACGAACATAGTCAAAATCGCGTCGTAACTTAATTTACCTCAAATTTTTTGATTCTATTGCCATCTAGCGACTGTTAAGTACTTAGCCTAACCTTTTGAAATTGTACGTACTTTTAGCTTGAAATCTTGTGAGGGCTGGTTGAGACATACCTTCGAAAAATTTTTCTTGTGACCGGGTGTCTAAAGAGAATAAAAATATGTTGACCTATAAGCAATAACAATCAAGTCGAAATTATGGCTTTGAAGCTCTAAAGTTAAATAAACTCCAACTTTTTGATATACCTTGTCATTATTAATACAAGAAAATTTTTTCTGCTCCACAAATTTTGGTTTGGTAACCCTTTACACCTGTTCGAAACGCTTAATCAGTAAAGACCGTTCTCTAGCGCCAGTAATGTCACAAAATAAAAATTCCCGCAATCGCTTAAAAAATCCCCCTGAGCACTAGAAAGCGCTTGCCCAAATGTGTCTTATTGAACAACAGAGAATAAGAAGCCAGTTAGCCAAAGAAAATATGCTCTCCTACTCATGTGAACAAAACCAACGCTCGAGCGCTCTCATAAATAACTACTTTTTCACGAGCAAATGCACACGGACGTATGCAAAGCCATTTAAATTGAAATGAAAACAACAAACTGCACAAAATTTTACCTGAGCTGTCTTGAGAGAGAGTGGCTTACTCGCGTCAATTGAGCAGCAGAGCGCGCTTACGAGACATACGGCACACAGGTGAGATGTGTGCGTGTGTGTATTTGTGTTAGCTGTGCACCGCATGCTGTTGGAAGATACTCGCGTGATGCAGCCGCACAGCGCAGCACAACAACAAAGCACAATCAGAAAATAGCGCTCAAGACAGCTGGCTGGTAAGAAATTCGAAGCGCAGCAAGGCGATGCGATTTTGTCTTTGATGTTAGTGTGTGTGTGTGAGCGCACATTGCTACAAACTTGTGTGTGTTCGTATGTGCAGCGCTGAGTTGTATTTCGGTCTTGAATTGAACTTTATGCGAGACATTTCAGTTCTTCGACGACTGTCGGCCGAGTTGGTAAGAAGATACGGAAGAAAAGTAACGGTGTTGGCGTTCGGGTATGAAATGCCAAACATTTAAGTGACTTGAAAAAACGTTATGTGCATGAAGCAGACGGCGTGTGCGCATGTGTGTGAGGAAGAAGAATTTTGTATCAAAATGGCAAGAGATCTTATAAGAAGGAAGATTTTTTGAGAAGTTAGTAAATAAAGCAAACGAAAAATATTTTGTATGAAAAAAAATTGAAAACTGTGTGAAAAACAACTGTGTAAGCAAACAGCAAGCAAGTTTTAAGCAATAGAAATATTTTGAAAAAAATTCGATAAATCAAAAAAAAAAATTTTTTTTGAAGAATTTAAATGAAAATAAAAAAATCACGATTTCCACACGCCAAAGCGCTCGTGTGCATATCTGTTGTTTTTGTAAATACAGATATCAAATATTTTGAAATTGTTTAAAGCAATGTCGTTAAACAACTAAGCTCAGCAACAACAAAAAGCAATGACAAAAGCCAAACGCTTAAATTTGTGAATGCCAAACAAATGCAAATGCATTAAACCAAAAAATCAAAAACARCAACAACACAAACGTAAAGAGCAAAACACAACAAAAAGGCAAGCATTTAAACGAGTTTCCTTTTGGTGCAACTTTGGATGACTGACTGTCTTTGACGCGTCCGCTGCCCCTGGCATCTACACACACACACAGCTATAAGCATGTAGCAAACAACAAAAACAACAACGAAACGTCAGAAACCACTTTTTTGCGTGCACAATTCGCCTGCTGCATTTCCTCCTTTTGCCAACAACTGTCATCCCTCGGCGCTTTGCCATTGCTGCTATTGCTGCGGCTTCTTCAGCGCGTCCAAGCGACTGCATTGCAGCTGCAGTCCGCCGCTGTTATTGCACGTTTTTGTCTTTGTTTCGCGTGTATTTGGTTTATTATTGGCCATAAAAATCGTTAAAATACACACATATATTAAGCGACTGCGCGACTGTGGCAACAACAACAACGCAAACAACACAAACGACAGCCACAATAGCAATAAATTGTTGTAAAGTGGCAAAAAAGCAGCAAAGTAAAAATAAAACCAACAAATACACACACACACACTCGCGCGTTGCACGAATGCAACGAAAACCTGCACTTGTCGGCGTTTAAAGTGCGAAAAAAGTACGCGGAAAAGCCGTTACGTGAAAAATTCTAGAAATTCTGCAGGGGAAAAGGAAGACAGTAAAACAAAAAAACCAAAACACAGCACATGCCTTGCAAGCGCTTAGAAAAAAGTAAGCAAGTTGAATAACAAAGTTTCGTACGCATAATCTTAAACTCGYAAAGTGTCTGCGACAGTGGGCGAGTTCGTGCGCTTAACTGCATTGCGCRTGAAATTGAAAGAAAGCACTGCATTGTGTTTGTGGTGACTCAATTTTTGTGCGAAAATTTGCGAGTTTGACAGTGAAACGTGGTTTGGGATTTTTTTTTTTTTGTTGAGTCAACGCCAGCTGACGGAAAGAACGTGCCTTCGAGTGTTTTGAAAAGGTAAGTTTGGAGCAAACGTTTCTGTTAAGTTTGCCTTTAGGAACTATGGCTTTTGTGGCAAGTTGTTCTAGGGTTGAAAATAAAGGTTTTGGAAAGTGGAGTGAACCACCTCGAGCGACAAGCATTTTAGTGCAATTATTGGCACCAATTGGTGGTCTTGATGTAGACTTAGTGACTCATTTGGAACTATTGCGCCAAATTTTGAAAAGTTAAGCAATTTACCTGTAAAAAGTCAAGAAATATCTGTTTCTTGCTATATATATCAAACTTTGGTCTAAAAGGGAAATTATTCTAATTAGACAGCAAAAATAAACAGTAAATTTTTTTTTTTGTTTTTGAAATAATGCTTATCAACAGAAACGTGGTTAGTTCAAATTTACTGAGTAGCCGAAAAAAAAAATGTGAAATGAACGAAATTAAATAACAAGAATGTTCTGATGGAGTAATACTTATCYTTCTTAAATTAAGTTTTCCATACAAAAACTTGATTTTGAACGGTCAGCTAATACGAGTTCTATATTGATTTCACTTTGTCAATATGCTGGGGCTATGTGAGTCTTTGTCATTTAGGAGAGGGCACAATAGGCGTAACGTCTCGGTACAATTCTTGTCTATTTATCTTATCTTATCAAGTGTCCCCTTCTAAATGTTTTTTCCAAAATTATACCATTGTTTTGAACAATAATCCGTGACAAATTTCGTAAAGATATTTGATCAAATAAAAAAGCACTTTTTTTCAATTGGTCAGTTTATGTGAAAGCTTTATGATATATTGAACTGATATGAACAATTTCTTCGCAGACTACACTATAGCTTTAATCAATAACACAACTCCGTAAAAATATATATTTAAATACCTAAGTTTTCCATACAAGCACTTGTCGCCGATAGTACATTGAATTCTTAACTTTTAATCCAAAACGTTTTAATTGAAAAATATGTAATCTCATCTCGCTCTGGTATGACTCTTTCTTAATCTGCTCGAAGATTAATGTGCATTTTTGAAAAAAAATTTCAACACTTGACTCAATTAGTACTTTTTAATTAGTAAAAATTTAAAAAAAAAATTATTGTTTGCTTGAAAAATAAGTCTATAAGTTACACTTACTAAATGGATAAGAAACGTCTGTTTTTACTAAATAAACGAAATTAAAGAAAATGCTTATAAATCACTCAACCTATCAAGCTTTATTTAAAAGTTTAATTTAAAAATCTTAAAAGCGCGGTGAATTTTCAGAAATTTTTTGAGACAATTAAATTTAAATTGAGTAATAAAATTTCTTGTTCATTCTTAAGGTCAAAATTAATGTTGCTAATTTAATAATATTTATCAATTTTGAATTCTTTTATATGAGAAGCATGAACAAAAACTCAATATGAGTTTGTAGTATAAATATTGAGTTTTACGAACTAATCGAATAAAAATTAAGGGTTAATTGTTGTGATATACAAAAAAGATTAAGTTGGGTTAATCTGGTAGGCCAACGAACCACGAATAGAGCAGTTTGGTTCTTTGTGATACCAAATGGAGTTCAGTTGCCGGGTCCAAGAAGTCTAGTCATCCTTTAGAATGCCTTGCCAATTTTGATTCACAGAAATTAGAGTTATTTTCTCATGCCTTAAGCAAATAAGTAAGCAGCAGCTCTGTATATTCGCTTTACTACAATAAAACATAGTGATAGATGGAGAAATATTCAATTAAAAATATGCTATTTCGTGCGAAACAGCAATTTTGGGTACATTGTATTTATAGAATGCTTTTATTAATTCTTGTTAAAATTTTGTGATTGCAAGTTTATTGAATTAAAGCGCTGAACATTTCCGTTTTTAAAGGATATTTGTTTTTGTTCTTATAGCAGCAGAAAACATTCCTGAAGTACTTTCGAGTCATGGTACTGAGTTGACAGCCTTTGTCCGGTTAAAAATCCAGGTTCATTCCAGTTACTTAGATCCCACTGTTATGAAAACGGAAAGTATAATTAAATTTCGATTCGCTAACCAAGAAACTCTCTGAAGAGAGAATTAGCTATGTAATTTGTCAATATATGCATGTAAATTAAGCGCTGAAAGATCGCAACCGTTCGAAGCTTCATTACTGGCTGCATAATATACAAATATTAAGCACGTTTTTTTTAAGTTTTGTGTTTGGAAATTTCTTTGAGTTTAAGTGCTGAACATTTCCTCTGATAAATGGCATTGATAGTTTGATTTTCAATGAAAAAGCCATACTTTCGGCCAAAGCAGCAGGATCACTTATTTAATTTGGCACTAACTTAATGGCAATTAGGCGCTAATTCTCAACTAGTTAATTGCGAAACATAATTGAAGATCGTATATCAATTATTATTGTGCTGTTTCGTTGCTATTTCGTTCAAAGCTTTAATTCTGGCTGCGTTATTGATAATTGTTTGATAATTGCATGTTCATTCAGATGAAAGTACTGAATCCTTGCTATAATAAATTTTATAAATAAATATCTTTGAAGTAAACAGGTTCACTTATTTAATTTGACACTAACTTAATGGCAATTAAGCGCTAATTCTCAATATATAATGGCTTCCGAATAAACAGAGCTGCATAGTTAATTTGTAATTGTTATAATTATGAAATAAATTTCGTTACAATTAAGATTTCCAATTGTAAATTAGGTGCTTTTGGTGCGTGAGTATACTGCTTTTAAAAGCAATCACCACAAGGTGCTTCTTGGATCGTATTATAGACTGGAGATAATTCTCACCCATATTATTTCGGTACTTTTTAAAATCAAATATTTTGCAAGTCCTCAGACTTAAGATGCTAGATAGACTTTCTCTTTGAGTATTCCGAAATAAGCAACTCGGCTATAATCGCGTAAGCGGTGTCTACGCCAATAAAGAAGAAGGAAGCTTCGGTAAATTGAAACAAATAGCTCCAATAAACGGTTTAYTGAGAGTGATATTTRGTTTTTCYTTTTTTAAGATTTTTTTTAAAGAAAGTTTAATATTTTTTCCTTCATGAAAGAGAAGAAATTTCACCTTCCAGCCTGAAAAATTAATATTGAATTCCTTTTAAAGCTTCCACAGCCTTAAATAATAACAGTTCAGCAGTGAAACCATCATTTATTTATAAAACAGAAGTCAATGTAATATGTGCTCATAGCATTCTTCGGATGCTTTTTGAACTTTTTTGTTASGAGATCGCCAAAAATGAACAAATCACTAAAATATGCAAAAATTAGCATATGCTAGACAAATAAAGAATGGCGAAAATTAACTCAGTATTTGCATATGAGCACATAAATACAATTAAATAAATAAGTATGTACGCCGAGTGACTAAGAAACAAAACAAAAGCCTAAAAGCACATAAATTTACCGGTTGACACAAATGCAAATTAAAACTTTCACAGCTGACAATGAAATAAAAACATATGAATAGCAGTTATTTTGCATAAAATTTAATTTTTGAATAGAAAATTCTACAAAAAATTAAATTATAAAAAAAATTTATAAAAAAAAAATATTTTAAAAAAAGTTGAAACATATTTTTTTGCACCGAACACTATTGAGTTCGGAAGACGTTTTAGTCACACCCACTTTTTAAGTTCACATGACAGCACCAGATGACCTGATGAGTRGTTAAACTTGAGACATTTACGAGCTGTTATAAATTTTAATATACAACTTATTTTCTAAATGCAGCCATTTAAACTCCACAAAAAACTGTAGAGTCTAAGTTCCACTAATTTTGCGAGGTCAACACCCGYGATAAAAAAAATAATAATCTTCAATTTCAACACTTTGCCAATTATCATTAAAAAGTTATTGATCAGCAAAAAAGCGGTTAACAGAGATTGTGAGTAATAACAACAACAACAATAACAGCTAAGATCAGTTACCTACACACACACACACACAGCCGTCTGCTTGACCTCTTCGGGAAAGCAACAACAATTGTAGCGAAACTCAGCGATTCRCCACAAGCCAACTGTATACTTATGTATCCGTGTATATGGTATACCGATTTTTTACGTGTGTATGTGTGTGTGCTTGTAGCTAAATACTTTCAGTTAAACTCAAAAATAAGCAAGACAAATAATTGTGGGCAACGAAAAACCAAAACTGAAAAAATCTTAAACTAAAACTTATGTTAAGTTAGTAAATAACAGTTGAAGCTAGGAAGACACAACAACAACAATAAACAAGCAGACAATGAGAAAACAGGGTAAAATTGTATAGCAGCAATGACACGAACAACAACAATGAGCTTGCAGCAACAAAAAACTACAGAAACTAAAATAATAAAAAGCTTAAAAGCAAAAGCAACAATAACAACAACACTGAGAGCGCGCTCAACAGTTAAAACCAGTTTGCAGCGCCGCCAGCAGGAAAAAGCAAAAACTATAAAATTAAATTTAAAACAAAAATACAAAAAAATATATAACAAAACGAACAGCCAGCTACAACAGTAACAAATACAAATCAAGAAAGTACCTAAATTAAAGACTKCCAGTTGGAAGTAACAACTAGCAACCGCAACAGCAACAACAATAGCGTTACACATGTATTTAGGCTTGAAGCGCGAGCTGTGCAGTCATGCAAGAGACATGCTCGTACTTGTGTTTGCTTGTACGTGTATGTGTGTTTGCTACAAAAGCTTAGCACTCCAGACCACCGGAGACAAAGTGCGCTGTTAAGATGAATTTTCAAGTCAATCGTGACAGTCATGAAATACAAAATTTAAATAAATCATGCAAAAATGTCAACAGTGCAAACGGACTTATGGAAAATTTGAGGCCTTTCAAGGCACGACCATAATGTGGGTACTAATGTAAAAGATTACAACACAAAGTATGACTGTTATATGCATTTAAAAACGCTCAAGATTTAACTTTACATGATTTATTTGCAAATTATTTTATTTTAGTTAAAAAAA